TAATTCCCTTTTAATGTGCACAAATTCCGTGCACTGGGCTACTAGTATTAATACAAACATATTAATATAATTACATTATATTAGGAGCATCTTGAAGTACCAGAAAATAAGAAAGTGCTCAAAAACAATCTGGTAGGACCATGTCAAATGATATAGGAACAAACATTGAAAGAGCTCTTAATGGACGAAGTTGAACAACAAAATGAATGATATAGTATTGTATTATAACCTAAAGTACAAAATAAACATACAGGAGTCTATATTTATTAAATAAATTGAATAAATAAACAGAAAGGAAAAGATATAAAGTTTCCTTATAATGCATAGCTTAATTGCCCCGCCCCTACTCTCCTTGAGTGTGGGCTGACCTCAGTAGTTCACTTGCAAAGAATAGAATCTGGAAAGGGAAAATAGTAACTTCAGAGTGAAAAAACCTAGCAAACACTACTTTAACCAAGTGATCAAGGTTAATATCACCAACGATATCATGTGGATATTATGCACCCCTGACATAAAATGATAAAATAAGCTCATCATCACCACTGTATTCTTTCAAAAGGCTCATAACCCCAGTATAGTCATGAGAAATATATCATACAAACACAAATTGCAGGAAACCCTGCTGACCAGCACTTCTGAAAACTATCAAGGTCATCAAATGCAAGAAATGTCTGAGAAACTATCACATATCAGAGACTAAGGAGACAAGATGCCTAAATGGGATATGATAAAGGTGATTGGATCTTAGAAGAGGGAAAAAAAATGGCATTGATGGAAAAATTGGTAAAATCCAAATAAAATGAGAGTTTTTAATTAATAGTGATGTACCAATGCCTGTTTGTTAGTTTTAACAAATGTATGAGATATGTAAGATGATAATATTAGGGAAAACTGAAACTGGATAAGGGTATATAGCACTACTTATGCAATTCTTCTATAAATCTTAAATTACCCCCCAAATAAAAAAGTTTATTTCTAGATGTTACTTTATCCCACTTTCCCCACTAGCTATTATCCCTACTCACCATCTGACAAATAAATAATGATAACTATATATTTTAAAATGAACTTTTCTCAAAAGAATTTTAATAGCAACTAAACTACTAAATGGAAATATAAATAATGTTTTAAATGACCACATTTATAGTAAATGACCAAAATTTAAAAAAAAATATGATCACATTATACAGAAAAAATAGTATATCACTGAAGGAAACTGACTAAAACTTTAGTCTTCAAGAACCCCTAAAACAGGTAGTCCATCAAATATTTTAGTTACAGAAAAAAGTAGCATTTATGCAAGAAGCAATAAGATTTATATAGGTAACAACTTCAAATCAGCAACAAATTTTAAAATTCACATTTTTTATTATTAAACATTCTCCATCTTTGAAATAGCAAATTTCATGTTAACATCAAAAGGAGTTAACAATTACTTGAACCATTTTCATCTAGTTTTTCAACAAAAGCTATTGAGATAACTGTAATGCACAAAGAAGTACTGTTCAAGGTTAAGAAGAAAAACCATCGGCCAAGGATAAAACCTTTGTGTCGCCAACCTACATAGCTGACAGCAACCAGAAAAATACTATGCAAACCTTCTCTACCTGGCATCTCAGAAATATTTTGTGTATGACTAACTGCCTTGATCAACTGCAATTACATTTGCAGCAAAAGGTCCTGGAGAGGAAGGGTATTGACCCAGTGAAAATGAAAAAATCTCAAAGCACTATTTGAAAGACCTTGTAGCCATACTTAAATCATTACAGTATGACCCCAGCTCCTGAAACCATATAGCTCTTGAATTCATTTGTTGAACCACAGGTGTATACATCTTTAGTAAGAGGATAACAAACAATTCAGTAAAAGTAAAAACCACTGTTAAATAAAGATATTGTACAACTGCAAAGTTTAAGGTCAACATAATTGGTTGGAAAACACAAAACAGTTACCCTCCTCTTGTGATAATGGGGTTTCTCTGTGGTCATTTAAAATTTCAATTCAAAGTTTACTATTATCGAAGTTACACAGGTACATTGCTTTAAGAGTCAAATAGATACATAAGGCTTGTCATGAGATATAGCAGTTCCCTGCTTTACTCCATCCTATTTCCCAATCTGGAAAAATAAATAAATACAATTGTTTTAGATTATTCTTTGCTATATTATTCTGATAAATTTTTATATCGATATGTATTAATTTTATTCTAACAGTAAACATTAGGTTTATTCTAACAGTAAACAGTAGAGGCAAACCTATAATTTACTTACAAAATACTTTGCCTTGAATATATTTTGTAAGTAAATAATAGAACTATTGATACATCCTTCAATAGTTCTCCAATTTCATCCACAGGTGACATACGATAGAAAACTGCACTTCACAGGGAGGGGATATTTCTGATTTGAAATTGGGAGATTATACAGAAGCTGTCACACCAGCCCTCCACCTCTCAGAGAGTAAGAGACAGAGAGCTTTTCTTAGGGAAACAGGAGACCGGTGTCTACCCTCAAATGTAAGTATTTGGCTCTGGGGGAGATAAGATTTTATTACCCTATTGCCCTTGGAATGGGAGCAGATGGCTCCATAAGGAGGGGCCGGGGGGACAGATCTAACACTCTTAAGGGTGTGAAGAGCCAATGGGTTTGGGGGAAAAGAGAAATATTCTCTATATTTCTAGCATGTCAATTTCCATTGTTCAGAAAGCCCTGGCCATGCAGAAAAATGAAAATATTCACATTGATTGCTGATACATTCCACATTTCTGAATGCTACTTCTAACAAAAACTTAGTCACTGCTGTTGGCACCTCACTCTTTCCTACACCTCCAAATAACACCCCCTGCACCCACAACTCTCCATGTAGTGGTATCATAATTTTAGTTAGCCCAATATTCAGCATCCATATTAGTATTACCATGTAAATGGTGTTTACTATTGAGGCACATAACAAACGATGATAGTTTCCTTCGTTGCACAATAAAGTTAATACTGTTCTTTTCCCCGCTATTAATTGGTTTTCTACTTATCCTAATTTAAGCCCACTCTCCTCAGTTGTGTCTTCACTTATTATGTTAAAAAGCCAAGAGAGTCCAGTTCATCTTCTTGAAGAACTCTTCTGAAGTTAGGACTTGCTGCAACCTCAGACAACAGCTCTGTAGGCCTGAAACCTGGGAATCTCCAGCTGCCTGCCACCTTTGCTGTCTCACCTTAAATTCTCTCCACTTCTCTAATTTCAGCTGAAGCTGGGGTAGACTGCCCTGTGGTCTCAGACTTTGTTCTGGCATCATCTCATCTCAAGCTCACTTTGTATGTCTTTCTGCCCTCTGACTGGGTGCCTTCGCCTACACCCAAATGCAGCCCAGCACTGAGGAGTTAATCCTCCAGGGGTCATACTGAACTGGGATGGTAATTCACCGGATTAGCATTGCATCTATTCTTTTCACCTTATTTCATCCCATCCACTCCACCCATTTCCCCTCTGACTTCTGTCAGTATGTACCATGTATCCATGTCTCTGGTTCTATTTTGTTCATCTGTTTATTTTACTCAACTCCTTTTTTAAAAATTACTGTCTTGGAGAGTTATTCAATTTTATTTTATAATTATTTTATTCAAAATTTTGTTTTTTACTGCATATGTGTGTTTTTTTAATTTCTATGAGTTTATTTGAGCCAAACTGATGGCATATACCAGGAATTTCAAATACTCTCTTTACTGCATATTTTAATTTCCAAGAGCTCCTTTTGTTCTCTGAATAATCATTTTTATTTCACCATGAATACAATCTTTTTCATGAGTTCTGTATCATATTTTATCTCTCTGCATCCTATCTAATAAAATAGACAAACATGGTAATTGACCATACCTTTGCTACACTTCCCATTGGCTAATCAGCAAGATATGCAAATTAACTGCCAACAAAGATGGCGGTGAATTTGCATACATAGGCGCGAAGCGGAGGAGCAAAGACTGAAGGCGGCTCCAGCCGAAGCGAAGGCCTGGGTCCTGGGTGCCGGAGGAAAACTGGTGCTGGCAGCCAGGGGAAGGGAAGGCCTATTGCACGAATCTTTTCGTGCAACAGGCCTCTAGTATAATAATAATAATAATGGGGGCAGATGTGTTTCTCTTTTCTACCTGAAATTGTTTCTTCAAAGCTACTATTTTAATGGTCTCTCTCCTTCATATTTAACTTTGAAATACCAGAGAGTTGATTGGGTCCTTGTGTTTGTTGTCTACAAAATTTTCTGCAAGGTGACCAGGTTGGCACTTCCCCTTCTGCTGAGCCCAGTCACCATAAGGAAGGCACCCATCTCCTGCCTGGAAGGATTAAGTCTGTCTGGTAATGCTCTGAACTGGAGTAGAGGAAGAACACTGGAGGAATCATTCAGACAATGCAGAAATTCTTAGTCTTACTATATCAAGAAAATAAAATGACTCATTTCTGCTAAAATGGGAGTGGAGTAGTGACTTGTAGGTGTAGAATGGGAGACAGGATCTTGTGTATCCAACTGTTATCCTAAAGTCTTTCAACTAGTCATTGTGGTTTTAGCCCCTCCTTCATCACTACACCTGGAAGTAACATGTTGGTAGGAAGACATAACCAAGACTTACGCCTCTGGGTAGTGTTTATTTGTAAACCTGGAATCTTGACTGCTGCTCGTATAGAATTCAGCTTTCTTGGGTCTGCTAGGCCATTACCACTTGTCTGCTTTCCAGTTGACAAGATTTTTTTTACTTTCTCCTTTCCCAACTCTGTCCATGTGCCTTATGATATTTTTTAATTCTTATGATAGTCATTTTAGTCACATTTCTAGACAAGGTAGTAGAGATGTGTATGCTCAATGTAACAGTTTTAGCTGGATGTGCTGCATTTTTTTCTAATAAAATGTTCTTATTCCTTTTGACAGAAATAGTTGTTCTCTTTATTTTCTTAACCAGTGTTTGTCACAAATAACTTTACCTTTTTTATCATTTGTGATGATTTGATTTATCAATTAGAATTTTGGTACAATAAATGATATTCCCAGGATTTTATTTCTTAATATGTGAGGTTTCTTGTCTTGTACTAAATGGCACTCAATTTTTCTTGGTTTATACACTTACTCTATAATGCTTTCGTTTGTTCTTAACTTTTGTATCTTATTACTGACAATGGATCAGTGGCTTCCATTCTAGCTGGCTCTCCATTAAAAATGAATAAAGTATTTTAAAAGCATTTTGATAGCTACTGTACTTTCTTGGAGGTCAATAGCTCTCAACGTTTCCTCTATTATGAGTTGACAACAAATTGTCATGTGGTTGATATTATTACAATATAGTCTTTGCATAAATGAGAGCATGTTGTACCTTAGTAAAAATAATAAAGATAATGATAATCTTAAACTTGAAAAACAAACAGCACATCTAGCTAAAACCAGTGACATTGAGATGTAAATAGTAATTTCTACAATTTTTCAAGAACTCTACTGAATGTCAAGCACAATTTGAAGTGCCTTATAATCACAGCTCATTGTAATTCTATAAGGTAGTTAGTATTGTTATCTGTATTACTATACAGAACAAAAAACCAGAAGGTGACAAAATAATATTGCTTGTTCCTATAGTGAATAAATGTGAGTTTATTACTTCTAGTGTGACTGACTCCAAAGTCTGTTTTCCCATTACCATGCTATCCTGACTCTGTAAAGCATTGCAATATATATCATAAAAGGACAATAGTGATAATAAATGCATTTTTATGGAACTGATGCAGTTTGGTTCTTCACACTTTAGATTACAGTCCAACATTAATTTAGTGACAAGAAGCTCAATAAAAATAGACACTGTGGTTGCAAGGTGAATGCATATGTAGTGGCTGCCAGTCCTCAGTCCTATGAGTCACAAACCTGCTCCTGAGTATTACATCGAATATGATGTAAAAGCAGCTTAACATTCCCTGTCAAAATGTTTGAATCAAATCAAGGCAATATATACTTATTAACAATTTACAGTATACTATGAGAGGTAACTAAAAAATTGAAGATAGAAAATAAGATATATATTTCCTGCCTTCAAGGGACTTACAGTCTACTTGGAAGTAAAAATAAAACTATAAGAATAAAATCATAATTTGCTAATTAGACCAGACTTCCTTCCGGACGACCTTCCAGATAAAGCCGGGGCTACTAGGGAAGTCTGTGTCCCGGGTGACAGAGGGAAGCCGGTGCCGGCAGCCAGGGAAGGAAGGCCTACCCTTGCACGAATTTCGTGCATCAGGTCTCCAGTAAATAAATAAAAGCAAACCCTCTTTTGAAAATTCCAAGAACTTTATAATATCATAAATTTTTAAAAGATTTGAAATGCATGCAATATAGCATTACTTCTGGAGAGAGTTCCGTAAAAGATATCTTGAGAAGGTTGATGGTGTGCAAGAGGCAGTTCTAAAATACAGTTGGACAGTTATACAGCTTTTAGATTGACAAAGCACAGTTAGTAGGTTTGTTCATGAGGTGGAGATATCAGGTAATAGATAGAAGTGTGAGCAATACAGCCAGAGAACAGAGGCAGGGGATATAGTGAAATGTATTCTACAGGGAGCCATTCCATAAATACCAGTCAGAATTGAAGCCACCTAGCAAATCAGGCTGAGGAAACTGGGCAGTATCCTTTGGCTAAAGGATAGGTTTCTTAAAACTGGGCAGTATCCTTTGGCTAAAGGATAGGTTTCTTAAATTCTTTCTCAGAGGAATGACACAGTGGATACTGAGGTTTAGGAAGAATAAGCAGAAAGTGATGTATTGTAAGGAATTAGGAAGAAGTGCAGGGGACCTTCATGGTAAATAACATAACATCTAGATCTAGGAGAAAATCACAGATCTGGGCTTGATGTTATGATTGAAAAATGAATAAATGGAGAATGGGGCCTACTTACCCATAAAGGAAGATTGGCAGGTTTCATGGCTGGTAAAAAGAAAAAGGAATAAAAAGTCAAAAATAATGTTCAGGTTTCCAGATCGAGTCCTCAGAAATATATATAAAGTTCCCAACACTCAGCACATATAATATCTTAGTCATCCCCACTGGACAGGCTCCATGATCTTCTGAATTAAATTAGTATTTTGATTTGGGCCCAGCTTGTGGTTCTGGGACCTTTGCCAGAGGACCTGGAGACCAGCTTAATAAGTACATGTTGGTTAGTATATACAATTTAGGAAAACAACTTGAAAAACCAAACCTAGACTGCTTAGAATGAAAGAAATCTTATTAAACACATTGAATTTATTAATTTAATTCAACCATTGAAAAGAGAATAAACTGTCATAATCTATTACATAGAAAATTTAATAATTTTTATTCATTTAATTACTCACTCATTTAAGCAAATAACATTCACTTAACAAATATTACATGGAACACCTACTACATGCAAGGCATTATACTTGGTATTGAAGATAGAAATAATGCCCTAGCCCAGTGGTTCTCAACCTTCCTAATGCCGCAACCTTTTAATACAGTTCCTCATGTTGTGGTGACCCCCAACCATAAAATTATTTTCGTTTCTACTTCATAACTGTAATGTTGCTACTGTTATGAATCGTAATGTAAATATCTGATATGCAGGATATATTTTCATTGTTACAAATTGAACCTAATTAAAGCATAGTGATTAATCACAAAAACAATATGTAATTATATATGTGTTTTCCTATGGTCTTAGGCGACCCCTGTGAAAGGATCGTTCGACCTCAAAGGGGTCGCGACCCACAGGTTGAGAACCACTGCCCTAGTCGGTTTGGCTCAGTGGATAGAGCATCGGCCTGCAGACTACAGGGTCCTGAGCTCGATTTCAGTAAAGGGCACATGCCCAGGTTGCAGGCTCGATCCCAGTGGGGGGCATGCAGGACACAGCCAATCAATGATTCTCTCTCATTATTGATGTTTCTCTCTCTCTCTCCCTCTCCCTTCCTCTCTGAAATCAATAAAAAAATATATTTTAAAAAAAGAAGACAGAAATAATAGTGGGACATATCTCTTCCCAAGAGGCTCACAGATCAGTCAAAAGAATAACTCAGGATACAGAGGAATTACAAAGGAGTGGGACTTCCCCATGTTGCCTCAGAAAGTGGCAGGTGCAAAAGGGAGTTAGACTCTGAGGTGGAAACACACACATACACACAAAATTATTGTATCATTTATGTTTCTATTTAAGTGTATTGGGTGTCATTGGTTAATAAAATTATATTATTCTATTATACATCATCTGTATATTGCATTGTGAGTTTACCACCCAAAGTCAAATCTCCTTCTGTCACCATATATTTGATCCCCTTTACCTCTTCTACCTCCTCCCAACCCCCTTTCCCTCTGGTAGTCACCATTCTGTTGTCTGTGTCTATGAGATTTATTTGTCTTGTTTGTTCATTTGTTACTTTCAGTTTTACATCCCCCATATGAGTGAAATCATATGGTTCTTGACTTTTTCTGTCGACTTATTTTGCTAAGCATGATATTCTCAAGATCCAACCATGTTGTCACAAATTAAATTAAATTAACTCTCCTCTTTTGTTTTTGCTATAAGTCATATTTGACTTCCCTCTCTTTCTTTATAGCCAACATTCAATTCATTAGCAAAGTTTATTAAATCTACCTTCACAATCTTGCCCAAATTTGCTAATTTCTCATGATCTCTGCTATGCATTAATCTCATTCAAGTTCCACTTATCTCACATGCGGACATTGCAATAGTCTCGCTGACCTTTCTGCCTCCATGCTTGCCTCCATGGTATCTCTTCTCCATCCAACATTCAGAATGAGCCTCTTGGAGTAAAGTCGGATCATGACACTCCAAGGTCAAAATCTACACTCATTTAGAGACATAGACTGCATTTGTCTCCAACCTCCTCCCCACTCCCCATCCCAAATTCACATGGGCCATTTCACTTGCTTTCTGTTTCCCGCAAACCAAGCATACTCCCACCAGAGTTTCATGCTTATTGTTCTCTCTGCATAAAATGCTCTTCCCTAGATACCCTCTTCTCTTACTTCTTCTTGTCTTTGCATAAATATCACTTAATGTAGATGTCTTTTCCTAACTATCCTATAAAAACAGCATCCCCATGATTCTCTAGTCCTATTGTTGTTTTATTCTTTATCACACATTTATTAGTTTTTCTCTCCCTGCTTGAATGAAAATGCTACAAGAGCAGAAACTTTGTATGTATTTTGTTTGCTGCAATATCCTTAGTATTATGCCCACAGTCAGTATTTGTTGAATTTGGGAACCAAATCTAATTGACATGGGCTTAGGGCTTTCTCTTATTGTCAGCCTACCTCAGTAGACAGATAAACAAAGAGTAAGTATTGAAGTGATCACCCTCTTTTACAGTCAGAGTCTTTACCCATAACCCCTCTAAAGTTTAAGGAGACCATGTGTTACTATTTTTTATTATAACATTTATATAGGATTTTACAGAGATTTAGGACTAAAAGGTCATGCAAGACATTTTAGGAAATTTTTAAAACATAGTAAAGTATGTTCTAGAAAATCACTTTGAAATTTATGTCATACAACATCTTCATATGAATGTCATGTCATATGTAAAATTGTAGGCTCTGATTTTCATGCCCAATATTTAGGTTTCTCTTTATATTACATAATTACAGTTCTTTGAAACCATGATGTGTTTGTGTATTATATACAAACTTTTTTTCCAAAAATGATGAATCACCATTAATTTTGATGAGCACATATGGTGTCTGTGTCACCTTGCCCTTGCTGAAAGTTGAGAGGCAAGGTAGTAGAGAGGTTGAGAGTACAAAAGCCAAGCCAGACTGCCCAAGTTCCAGGCCCACCTTCACCACTTAATAGCTTTGTGACTTTGGGAAGCCCTTAGTGTCTCCATTTTCCTAAATATGGAAAGGGGATAATAATGATACCAAGTTCATAGGTTTATCATCAGCATTAATTAGGTGAATATATGCAAAATGTTTAGAATAGGACCTAGCAAATATTTAGCATTTTAAATGTTAGTTGTGAATGCTAAAAAAGTAAAATTCAATATTGTATATGAACATTTCAAATATTTATCAATGTGGGAGGAAATGATGATATCCCATTTATTTCTTTAATTATAAACTACATTGAATGCTTCTTTATTTGACCATTTTCATACCTTTTATAACTAGTGTATTTAAGTCCTTTGCTCATTACTTATTCATTTGTAAGAGTTATTTATACTTTGAGATTAACTGCACATATTTATTAAAAGGGTTTCTCTAATTAGTTATATCATTTGTTTATTAATTTTATGGATTATATTTGTATTGTACAGAAAACTTTGAAATTTTCATTGTCAAACCTATCATTGTTATCTATTACTTTCTGCTTCTATATTTTCTCCAGTATTTTATGATTTAAATTTTTATATTTAGCTATTTATTTGGATAGTAGTGTATAGAGTGATGTGAGAATTTACCTTGAGTTTCACTGGAGCAGATTTTTCTCAATATCATTTATTTAAAAATTTATCCATAATCTCTTTTATAATACTTCCTTTATAAAAAGTTTATATGTATTATATATATGTTCACATTATGTATACATGCATACATATAAATACATACATCATATCAAAATTAAATTCTTTATCCTAAATCTTATTTTAATTCTTATAATGAATTTGAGTTGAGTAGATAGTAAGAATAAAAATTACATTGGCACGGTTTTCTTTTGTCTGTCAAACTGAGGCCAAATATTTCCTTCATAGAAAACTTCTGATACAAAAATCCTAATTAAAAGTAGAAAGCAATGTGTGAACCTCCTGCAGCATTTGCTATCTGTGGATGATCTGTGCAATGCTAATAGCTTCATACACCCAATATAATCGTGCATGAGCCCGTTACTAATAAACCCACACAAATGCCAGGTAATGTATAGCCCAGCAAATAGAACAATTACAATTCCCACAGTGTCAACCAAAGCGTTAGTGAGCTTCTAATTTTTGTTCCAACCATTTGGACTTGTTACCCAGCTATGGTTTCTAAAGTCCATACTCTCACTAACACTGAAAGGAACAGAGGTTTTCAAAAAAGTATGTAGATGGCCTGCTGCTGATCACTTGCCCTCATATTTTTAATGAAATCAAATATTTGAAATTAAATTAATTTTAAGTGCAGTGTCTTGAAGTCACTGTTATTAAATGAGTAAATGAATAGTTAGGTCAAATTAATCAATAATCAATGAAAAGGCCATCCATTGCATTCCTTGTACAGCTAGACTAGACTAGATGACTGCAAGTAAAATGCTCTGTGCCCCTCCACTAGGAGGAAAACACGTCCTCCCTCTGGGTAGTCAGGAAGAGAGATGCCAGGGACAAGGCTAGAATGTTCTTGGAACAGGATGGAGAGCTCAGTGAGACAAGCAATAAAGTCAAAGGATCTTGCACCCACATCATATCATCCTTTTTTATTAATTTTTGACCAATTTTTCCTGGTCAAAGTCGCTATAATAAGATGAGCCTAGCCCTAACTGGTTTGTCTCAGTGGATGCGGACTGAAAGGTCCCAGGTTTGATTCTGGTCAAGGGCATGTGCCTTGGTTGCGGGCACATCCCCAGTGGGGAGTGTGCAGGAGGCAGCTGATCGATGTTTCTCTCTCATCGTTGTTTCTAACTCTCTATCCCTCTCCCTTCCTCTCTGTAAAAAATCAATAAAATATATTTTTTAAAAAGATGAGCCTACCGCCTACATGATTTTATATGAGACATAAAATACAAACCTAATGCTCATTTTCATTTTATGGTGAATGTCCACACAGCTTTTAGTAGGCATATCAGTAGGCATTGTTGTTGTTTTTTCTGGTTTCACTTATTTTTTGCAAAGATTTGTGATAGATTTTTTCCAAAGAAATGTAGCAATAAAGGACTTTGTTAAAATATTCTTGGGCTATGTTCTTTGTTTTAATTCAATTTAACATCATCTCATAATATGAATAGCATCCAATGGGGGGGGCATGAAGAAACTGTTTTAGAAGTTAAGTATACACTGTATAAGCTGATGCTAATATTCAACTTGAGCTTCAAGAATATAGTCTCAAAGGTCAATTTAGATAGATTTATGTCATTAAAAACTCCTTACACAATAAAGAGACTGTCATGGTACTGTATCACATTTAATTATCAGATGATGAAGTCTTTTCACAGTAAAGTTATGCCCAGATGCTACACAAAGGGCCCAGAGAAAGTTGTATCAGAAAACTGGGGCATTTGCAGATGTATCCATCAATGAGAAGCAGAAAAAGATCAAAGTTTTGGTTGTGGAGGCTCCTAATCCTGTTGTTTTTTCCAGGTACTGTCACATCACAGCTACAAGGTGAGAATATAGCAGTGGTTCTCAACCTTGGCTGCACATTAGAATCACCTGGGAATCTTTTTAAAATCCTGATTTCTGGGCCTCATCCTCCGGAAATTCTGTTTCTTTGTTATGGGGTGGGACCACAGCATTAGTAACAAAGAAACAGAATTTCTGGAGGATGAGGCCCAGAAATCAGGATTTTAAAAATATTCCCAGGTGATTCTAATGTGCAGCCAAGGTTGAGAACCACTGGAATATAGTGAAGGCTCTAAGTGAACTTCAAACAATGCTCTTAACGTGTGAACTATGTTCACAGGTTATAATCAATCAAGTATCCCATTTTCCAGTATTACAGATGTCCCTCATTGCCCCCTTTCCCCCTCCATGCCTTGATGAAGGGCATGTACTCCAGACCTTCCTAGATATGTACTAAGTGAGTGACTGAACTAGTTGTATATAAATATGTCTACGTCTATTTTAATATTTCTATCTCACTAATCCGTAGGACTCCTTTTTTTAAAAACATATAAAGGAAGTTCTTAAATCTTATCTCCTCCATTATAGGCAACAATTGTGTCCAAGCTTTATTAACCAACCCAGGTCACCTAATCCCTCTCCAAGTTGCTAGATCCAACAAGTCCTTAGTTCCAGTGAGTATACTCATTGCGATAAATTCAACATGACACAACCATATATTTCATACTCTTTGGTCTTTGGTCCAAGACTATTAGAATCTATTTGCATATATGCTCTCATGGTTTCCATATGTGCTTCCAAGTTACAATACAGTTGGCAGGGATCTACAACTCCTTTGGTATGTAAGCTATGTTTTTTAGGAGTAGGTTTTGCAATTATCCTTGTGAGATATAATGGTATCAAATACTTGCTTTTGACCTAGCCAGAAATAGAATAGAAAAAAAAGTGAATAATTTTTATAAAATTATAATAAATAAAAGTAGGACTAATATTTTAGAAATAAACAGAGAAAGTGAAAATGCTTGGTTGGGAAGAATAGTGATATTGTAGACAAGTGCAGACTTTAAAAGAAAATATTATTTTCAAACTTGAATATTAAAAGAATTTAAGGACAACTACAAAAATACTATTGGAGCATCTAAACTACAGAGGAAATAAAAAGTTTAAGTAAGGAAAATATCATCAACATAACAAAAGGTAGGAAAGAAGATGAAAGCAAGTCAAGGAAGCCCAGGATAAACAAACAAAACATGGTGGAAATAAGTCCATGTGTGTAAATATAAAGATAAATGTAAGTGGAATAATATTAACTATGAAAAGACAAAAGACATTAGAGTGGAAAATCCTTTTTTTGTTTAATTTATGAAATCTATTGTTTTCTGACTTCTCTATTGGGGTTTTCTTAAAACAGAGATACAACATTTCACTTAAATTATGTTAAGCGAGGAAGGAAGGCTATGTGCTATGCATTGTTGTTCAATATAAATAATATAAATATAAGTTTCAAAGTTTCAGGTTAGTTTGTCTAACATTTTTGGCAAGATTTTTAAAAAGAAAAACTGTTGATCAAAGTCTCATTATCTCCTTCTCAATTAGTGGAAGCCAATATAATTCATAATTAAATTATTAAATTGAAATGCTATTTAATGACAGTTGCTATATAAATTTGAGTATTATACTAATTTGATTATAATATTACCAAATAATATTTTTTCTGGATCCAATTACACTGAGTTTTTTTTAAACCATTACCTAGTCTTCAT